TGTGATGTACATATATATCGACTTCATGACGTCACCGATGCCTTCCGATATGCAATCGCTGTCCTTCTGTTTCTGCCTTTGCATCGTGAACTCTTTCCATCTTCCACTGGTCTTTCTCCTTTCTGGGGGCATCAGCTCCAGCACTTGTGTGGACTGTCTGTTGTCTGCCGTTCTTTATTAAACGTGTTGTTTTATTTTTATATCATCAGAAATAGAATTTTGTTAAGTACATTTTTTCTCCACTTGCATACTTGGGATTTTATCTTCCCTTGATATTGTTGTTTATCGTCTCCAAAAATCCATTTACACTGCCAATATATATGTTTTTCTTTCTTATATGTCTTTCCTTGATATTGTTGTTTATCATCTCCAAAAATCCATTTACACTACCAATATATATGTTTTTCTTTCTTATATACATATATATATAAATTTGCAGCTTTGTAATAATTGTGACAGTTCAGAGATATACATACTCATATATCAAAAAGTAAACTTCTTATCATATCCAAAAGTGTGTTGTGAAATTCAAAGTTGTTGTCATGGTAGTAGTTACAAAAACAACTTCAATTTTAGAATATTTTTAAATTTATGAAGTATTTCCATTCCACTTCCAGCTGCCTGTATAAACATAGTTAATTTATGTCAAAATTATGAAAATAAATCAACACAGATATTAAAATAAGAAACATAAATTCAGTTCCCTTAATCTGCTTTACAAATATTTTACATTTTATAAGATGTGCTATTAATTTTCACAGATTTTTATTAAAGCGTGTTTATGTCTACAAGCTTCCAAGGTCCTCTGAATTTTGAATAGCATCCCTCTGATTAAGAAAAATCCACTAGTCACCCACCTGATCACCATATTCTTTGCCTTTTATGGAACATGGTGCCTGAAGGTGTTATTCCCATTTCCACAAGAACCACAATTATATTTTTTATTCAGACCCTTTTGACCGCATTTTACACCTTTTCTTAACATCCATTGCTGAATGTTATACTTAAGTGGTTAGAACTCCTGCTTCATACGAGGCTGGTCTACAAAGTAAGTTTCCCTGGGGCCGTTTACAGAAACAAAACACAATTTCATGGAAATATTTATTGCAACAGATACAGCAAGTGTCCAGCTATTTTTCAACATATTCGCCACCGGAATTGAGACATTGGTCATACCGTGGGACCAACTTTTGAATACCTGTGTCGTAGAAGTCGCCCGCCTGGGATTGGAACCACTGTGTGACAACCATCTCCGCCTCTCTGTCATTCTCAAAACGCTGACGCTGACCGGACAGGAATTTCTTGAGGTGTAGGAAAAGATGGAAATCACTGGGAGCGAGATCCGGGCTGTAGGGTGAATGATTAAACACCTCCCAGCTAAACTCCTGCAGGAGACTTGCTGTCCGTCGAACCGTGTGCGGCCTAGCGTTATCACTGACCGCACTTCACAGGCGGCGGGAGCTGGAAAGTTTCTGGTTGAAGTCTTGGCACAGAGACTGGCTAAACTGACTGCGGTTTTCATGGTTTTTCTCAGCTCCTCCAATCAAATTCTGGGATGGTACCGTGAAGTAGGTCGTTGCTGCTTTATCCCACACCCTTTTTAGTTTATTATTTATTAATCATTCTGTCACTTGTCACTTTACGGAATGTCCCAAAAAGATGTATGCATGCACTCAGTGATTGAAATAAAGACATTTTAATAAACTAAACCATTTCATACTTCAGCATTGATGCTTAGTGAATTAGTGAATATAGTGTAGCTGTTCAGAATGACCACTGTTAACTTCTTGGCACAGTTGAAAGTAGTGAGCAACTGACGAGTGGACAAATGGCCACCAAAGCTGCTGCTGGCTTTGTGCTGTATGTTGCATCCTTCAAGTATTTGTCAAATCATTGGGTGGGGGCAGTTGACAGACCCTCTGTGCTCTATCAATCAGTCGGAAAAAGTTGTCAAGATAAAGATATTACAGTGCCATCTTTTAAGTGTAGGCCACACTAGGTTCCCCTCATAAACACAACACACAGAGATGGATAATGAGGTTAATATTCCATATGATAATGTGTATACATCTTTTTGGGGAACAGGGTATGTCTGAGAAACTGAAAGGGTCTTTAAGTAAACTAAAAATAATTAATTTAACTCCCATTTCAATATAAGCCTAGGTCTTTAATGTGGTTCCCTATCTTCAGGTTTTGCATTTCTTGTATTCCCATGTATGCTACATGTCTCGCCCAGCTTATCTTTGATTTGTGGAGTACAATTATATGACTTCTCACTGGTTTTCCCCTCCATCATCTTGATTCTCTCTCTCTTCCTCCAAACATTCTCCTGTGTGTAGTAATTTCTCATTTGACCTATACAAGGTACATAAAATGTAGTTGCTTTGTAGCATTGAGGTTAATGTTGACAGAATATTTTAACCATCACTGCCACTGATAACTTACACTTATCACAATATTTTCCTTCTATTCAAAGATGAATTTTGGCCTCAAAGGCCATTATCATTTTATAGTAGATTCCCAGTTATCCAACATTCTACTTTATCCAATGTGCTGTGTCAGAATGTTCCATTTTGTCAACAGTTTACTGCGCCTGGAGTGGAATGAATCACTCCCCCGCCGTGCATCTTTTGCGTTTTATGTACTCGGTTGTTACAGACATGCTGGCATGACCTTACTGGGAGGGGGGAGGGGCTCAAAAGCAAATACTCATTACTAATTTTTCAAAAAAAAATGTCTTTTTGACATTTTTTTATTTGATGTCATATTGTATTTTTGTCATAATTTAATAATATTGTAGATTGTTATAAATTGAGTTGATATTACCCATTATATTCATTAGTTTTCTGTATTATCTGACATTTTAGTATCTGACCATCCTTCGCTCCTGTTTAGGTTCAATAATCAGGACTCTGGTGTACATCTGTAATCTATTTTCCATATGTCACGTACTTTATTGCACACCTTATTTGTGTAATCATTTTCTTTTAAAAATTATGAAATGTACTTTTAATGGAAAAATATACCAGGAAGTGAGAATGGTAGCAAATTATGGATGACAGCATGGGCTTTGTAGAGGCAACACAAATGAGAGTTCTGAGATCAGCATTAGGAGTGACAACAAGTAAGATAAGAAATACATATATTTATTTTTCCAGTCTATACACAAAACTTGTTTTAAAATAATGTTGTTTAAAATTTTTTATAACATTTACAATATAAATTGCATTATGTTATATTTTATGGCGCTTTTCTGTGTCGTATAATATTACATCTATCACAGCGCTTTTGATTCTGACGACATGTTTCGATGTTTACCACATCATCTTCAGGCTTATCAATTCATACATTTTTAAAAACTATTGTACATTTTTGTGCATTGCGTTTATTGAGTTTTTAATTTTCAGTCTTCATCTTGATTTGGAGTATGCATTTTGATGTTCATTATCAGGTTGTATTTTGATGTATCGGACGTCTGATATCCACAGACGATAAACTATTTAGGTAAAAATTGGGTATTTATAATATTAACGTGAAATTAAACATACAGAAAGTAATGGTTACAATATATAAAGCATATTTTAGATGATTGGCTGCCAAGGAAAATTTTACACTGTTGGCTAGAAAGTGGGAGAAAAACATGAAGACCTGTGGATAAATCAGACTGGAATCAAAACGAGTTAATCCTGCCACTTGAAAAACAAGACAGTTTTTAAGAAGATAAAAGATCATGAGGTGTATGTTGCAAGTGGTAGATTGATGATGGCCTGTGAACCCAGAATGTCTCTGTAGGTGGTCAGTAATAACATAGGTTATACTAGACACTATGGAAAATGTATATTGTTGTCTTTGAGTTTATTTTAAATCTTTTAGTAGCACTGTTTGTTATAAAAGATACATTTTTCTACAGAAAACTTCCACAAATAAGACACTGGAATTTATATTATAGTATAGGAATTATTTCAGTTCCTAGGTGCTAAAGTGGTACAAGTCAGATTCTTTTCATGTTGTATAATTTATTTTTTTAATCAAATGAAAAGTGTAAGGTAATTTCATTTTCTTGTTAGGAAATGTTATTAGTTGTAGTAAAAATGTATTTTTGTTGTTTGCAGTAAATTGAGAATAAACACCTAAAACACTCATTTTATACCGTTGTTGACTTGTATCATTTTAGCTCTGATCAGCTCATTTGTAGCTGCCATGCACACAAACTCAACTGACGATTTATTTAATTGGGGAAGTTTGGTGTTAGTAAGTTCACGCTGAAGATGTCTTCCAATCAACACAATTTGGTCAATTTATGTAAAATATATAAAATCATGCATACAAACAAAACTGTTTACACTTTGAAAAACACTTAGTACCAAATGCATTTTGACCTCAAGAGGTCATCATCAGTGACAAACAAATTAATTCATTAGTCTGTCTATTAAAATAATACAGTTCATAAGACGATGGTCTGTTATAATGAGTTAATGTTTTTGCCAATGACGATGATCTCTAAAGGTCGAAACGCGTTTGGCACTAAATGTTTTTCAAAGTGTAAGCAGTTTTGTTGGTATGCACGATTTTATATATTTTAGATAAATGTTCAACACTGCGTGGTATGCAAGGTTTTAATATTATTGATGACAATTTGATGAATTTAAAGTTAAATTAATGATTTCCACTACTGTAAGTTTGACTTCTCTGTAAACCTAATGGATAGAGTCCGAGCATTAAAGTAGTAAGTAAAATGTCTCTATTGTAAAGTGAGTTCTACATTTGCCTCTCATATGATGTCACTGATGTAGCATAGAACTCTTTAAATTAAATTATTTAACTTCATTTCCTTGTAATAAATCAAGATATCGCAGTGTTTTATATTGTCCATAGATCTTAGGTACAATTTCCATGGTTTTTAGTGCTGTAAGTAATATAGTTTAAAGTAACCATTTCTTTGTGCTGACATGTCCAGTACCTGTTGACCATTCTCACATCATTGATTATTTATTCCAATCATGAATGAACTGTTTGATTTGTATTGCACGATTATATTTCAGATATCAGAACATACAATCAATCATGAATTTCTTGTTGCTGAAAGTGTTGCAAATCTGATGTCAAACATCTTGCTAGTAACAAATCTAAAACTTCTTGACGATGGTGAAGAG